GATCTAATAATCATGGTACATTCAAAATATAACATACTCACAGAAATACGAAGACCCAACTGAACGATTGTATCAAAAGGATTGAGCACAGCAAAAAGATAACTTGTTCGAGAAGATATCGGTTTGAAAGTAGCAACAACTGTGAATTCAGCAGGCAACTTTTCTGGAAGACAAAGTCTGTACGGTTGCTTAACTTCTGAACCAGGACGAAATCCAAATGCAAGAAAGTTATCCAGTCCGTCGTCAATGTATTGGTTTTTATCATCAGTTGTTGCAACTGCTGCTTGAAGTAAATCGTACACCATTTCTGAAATGCAGAGGAACTAAAGAATAGATAATTTCATCACATAGATAGAAAGGATAGCTAAAGAAAAACATTTTATGATCAGAAAAACAATAAATTTCTTGAGTTAAAAGAAAAAATTCTTCAAATAAAATCGGAAAGTTATTGATTTACCCCGTTTTTCGAAAATCAAGTTTTCATCAGATCTCGACGTTTTAAAGTCCTGGGAAGCTACTCTGACGATTTTCACGATGGTGTGTGTGTGTTGTGTATGTTTTTTTTTTTTTTTTAAGGGGGGGGAATCCTTTTTACGGATTCTAGGCATAGCTGTTTGGCCTGGATATGTGGCGACTCGACGCAGCGTCATACTAAAACTCGACGCTAACGCCCCTACCCACTAAACCCTAAACCCCTTTCCTCTTTCCTCTAATCCCTCATGGGAACCGCCGTTAGGCATTACTTCGTGGGGGGAGGATATAGCTACGGCTCTTCCTTCTGGTAGCTAAGGTGTTATTTTACCTTTCTTCTAGTTGTTGTCATTTGCTCTTCTTCTTTCGATGGAACGCAAGTCTATGAGGACTTCTGTTGCAAATGTGCTGATGGCATTCCAGGACGCTCTTGACGATAACATTGCTTTTACTATTGTCTCTGGTTGAATTTTCTTCTTCAGGATCATACAAAATGTCATGAGTGCAATTTTAAGCACCTTGTTATGAAATTATCGTGAAGTTGCTGGGATGGCCTTCAGGGTCAACCATTTTACTAATTTTTAACTTCCCGCTAAAAATCTCAGATTTTCAAAAATCGGGAAGTTATTGTTTTCACCGAGCGGATGGGAGAACGCTCGCTGTCCTTGGATGACACTTAATCTCTTAGTTGATGAGGTACAACAGGTAGGAGCCAAGCAAAATAACCAAACAAAATACGCTCCCGTGGACAAAAACTCCCGGTTAATGGGTTGGTCGCACTAACTGACCTAACAAGACGATCGTTCTCTGCTGTGACCCACTGGGAGTGACCGGAACCTGTATCGTAGTTTCCGACGATGCAGGCCACGGCTGATGTGAGCTTGCTCTGCCGAGGTGTAAGTTGCAGTAGTGGATCAGGAGCCAGTCACTTCGGGCCTTGATCAGGAAGTACGCAGTGAGTGTTAGAGATCGGAATCTTCACCGCCCCGAGCGAGTCTAGTCCATCCGTGTATTCCGGGACTGGCTAAGTGTCGGCTAGGCCTCAGGGAACTGGGGTAGGAGTACTATCTCCGAGGGTACACCCGTTCCTAGTTATGACAACCCGCTCCACTCCGTACGATGCGCTGGTGAATCAAAAAGTATGAGTAATTTACAGGAAACAAACAAGAATAGAAACGGGCATCATGCCCAACAAGCAGCGATTGAAGCAAGCGCTGAAATAAAGAGAACGTAAGCGTTGGAGCGCCTTGAAAAGCTGACCATTGAGAAGCAATGGATACTGGAGCCGACGGTGACGGTGAATCTACTGCTAAGGACCAGAATGAAACTGACACAAGGTCTGGAAAGAGAAAGGACTGAGATTCGCCAGAGCCAACCGACAAAGTCACAAAGAAGAAGGACCTGAAAAAAAGCCCTCCCCAACAACTGGCAGGGCAGGGTGACGAACCCAAGAAGACGACTGACTGGGAAAAAGTACAGTCTAAGAAGGAGAAGAGAAGGCTAGCTAGAGAGCAACTCTCAAAGCAGCCGCCGAAGGAGCCCAGGCCAGAGCCTAAGCGGAAAAAACCACGCAAATGGATCAGACCCGTCGCACTGATTATCCGCCCGGCCGAGAAAACAAAGTATGCCGAGATTCTGCGTCGCATATAGCAGGACATCCCAGATGAGCAGGTTCGTTCAACTGTGGATAAGAGCAACAAGACCAGAAGTGGAGACTTGTTGATTACGATTTCTAGGAAGAGCACTGACAAAGGCCAAGGTCTGCAAGAGACGATCGCGGACATCCTTAAGGAGGAGGCCAAAGTGATTTGCAAAGGGCCATAAGAGACTATCGAGATCCGAGATGTCGATGATGCCACGACGAAAGAGCATATTCAGACCGCTCTAAAGAGGGAAGCTGGAGAAAGTTGTGAAATACCACTAGAGGCAATCAAGATCCCTAAAGCCTTTAGGGGTACACAGACAGCCACAGTGTCACTACCAGCAGCTGCAGCACAAAAGTTACTGGAGGGAAACTGCAAAATAAGGATAGGCTGGTTGAATTGCTGAATGAGAGCAACGAAGAGACTCATACAATGCTTCAAATGCTGGCACTTTGGGCACATCGAATCCCAGTGCAAGAGCAAAGTCAACCGGTCTCAGCACTGCATAAGGTGCAGAAAAGAAGGACACAAAATTGCTGATTGTAAAAATCCAGCTGAATGTGCACTGTGCATTGAACGGCACGGCGTAGAAAAGGCGACCCACCATGCAGGCTCGAATAGATGCCCCGTCTTCCAAAAAGCGCTCCAGAAGATAACAAAGCCAAGAACATGAAGATATTGCAGCTCAATCCCAATCATTGTGAGGCTGCGCATGACCTGCTCATGCAAACTATGCGCGAATTAGAGGCAGACGTAGCACATAAGTGAGCCTTATAGACACTTGAGTAATCAACCCTGGAAATCCGACAGCACTAACAAAGCCGTCATATGGTCCTGCGGTAAATGTCCTTTTCAGAGAACAGCCAACAACAAAGAAGCCGGCTTCCTAGCAGCATGGGTAGATGGCCTCCGCATCTACAGTTGCTATGCACCACCTAGTCTCTCTAACAGTTTGAAGACTTCCTTGATCGGCTAACTGAAGACGCAAGAAAACACTTTCCCGTGGCAATAGCTGGTGACTTCAATTCCTGGGCAGCAAACTGGGGCAGCAAGTTCACTAATACACATGGAAAAGCACTTCTCGAGGCAATGGCCACACTGAATGTGATCCTTCTTAACACCGGTGACACGCCAACCTATACCAAGGGAGAAGCAAGCTCAATTGTCGACCTCACATTTGTCAGCAGTAGCTTAGCCCGAAGAGGTTTTTCTTGAAAAGTATTGAACATCTACATAGCCATAGTGACCATAGTGCGATACTATGGGAAATAACAACTGGCCAGAAACTAACAAGAGACAACAAGAGCGCTAGCGCGGTTGGGTGGAAAATTAAATCTCTCGACCTCACTGCTTTAATAGTAGCTCTAGAGTACGATCCGATCATCGTAGAAACTGCTGAAGAGAAGACCAAGGACCTAATGAGAAGAGTCACCCAGGCTTGCAACGCTAGTATGTCTCGGAAACGTGGCATGAACTCAAGACCTTCAGTGCACTGGTGGAACGATCACATTAGCACTCTACGCTCAGAGTGTCTCAAAAACAGAAGAAAGCCTCAGCGTGGCTATAGACGACCTAACTCCGCAGAGCTGTTGGCAGAGTATAAAAAAGGCTCGTCGAGAACTGAACAGAGCCATCAAAGAAAGCAAAAGACGCTGCTGGAAGGAACTGGTCACAGAAGTAGAGAAAGATCCATGGGGCAGACCGTACAAAGTGGTTATGACCCACCTGAAATACCAGCCAATGCCATCACCTACGTGTCCACAACTCCTACTAGTGCCTTCCGCACTATATCAGAAGAAGCAGTGTGCGTCATTGCTGGAACCCTACCTCTTAGAGTTCTAGCAGAGGAAAGACGGGCCCTTTACCAACGGAAAAGGTCAACTACACTGAGCCCTGAAGAACTTAGAATTGAAGAACGGCAGAAGAGCATAGGCCGATGGCAACTACAATGGGATGCTGCAGAGAAGGGTAGGTGGACGCACCGTCTCATACGTCGGATCGACATTTGGCTTAACCGGAATCACGGTGAGGTCAATTACTATCTTACGCAGATGTTGTCGGGACATGGGTGTTTTCGAGAATATCTACACTGCTTTAAGCACGATGACTCTTCAGAGTGCCCGTCCTGCCCATACACTTGATCACAAGTCTTGAGATTGCTGAAGATGCGGAGCACGTCTTCTTTGTATGTCCTCGTTTCGATCCACAGCGTGAAGAGTTGGAGAAGATCCTGAACCAGAGAATGCAACCAGATTCACTAGTAGAAGCAATGTTGTCATCAGAAGCTGCCTGGAACGCTACCAACACGTTTGCAACAGAAGTTCTCAAAGACTTGCGTTCCAGCGAAAGCAGAAGAGCAAATAGCAGAAGATAGAAAGAAGGAAGTTAACACCTTAGCCACCAGAAGGGAGAGCAGTAGCTAGATCCCCTCTTCACGAAGTAATGCCTGACGGCAGTTTCCATGAGGGATTAGAGGAAAGAAGGAAAAGGGGTTTAGGGTTTAGTGGGTAAGGGCGTTAGCGTCGAGTATTAGTATGACGCTGCGTCGAGTCGCCACATATCCAGGACAACAACTATGCCTAGAATCCGTAAAAAGGATTCCCCCCCCCCTAAAAAAGAACAAAAAAAAAACACACACACACACACACCCCCGAGTAAAAACAAAATTTAGCCGCATCACCGCCGAAACACCGCTGCACGTCATTTTAAACGCCGAAGCACCGCCGCACTATGACTGTGACTATTTAAATTTTTGTATGGTCACCGAAGCATCGCCGCACCATAGCCGTGACTGTTTCAGTAAAAGTGGGTTCGCTGCACTACCGCCGAAACACCGCTGCACGGCATTGTAATTGCCGAAGTGCCGCCGAAGCATCGCCGGACTATGAATGTGACCATTTGAATTTTTTTACGGCTGCCGAAGCACCGCCGCACCACCGCCGTGACAGGTTAAAATTCATCAATTAGCTGAACCACCGCCGCACTACAGCTGTGGTAAATGTTTTCAGGGTATTTCGATCGGCTCGCTGCTTCTGTGCAACCCGAGAACGAAATTAAAAATTTACATCAGTAATACGACTACAAAAAATCAATAATTTACTTCAGTCTGATTCAAAACATTTTTTTTGTTTGAATATTAGGCATTTGAATAAAAGGAGGTTGTACAATAGGTCTTACATTAAAATTTCTAG